GGCCAGCAGTTTTCTTCCACAGGGATTCTAAAGCAAGAGCATCAGAGCATAACTTGGACAGGCAAAAGCAAGGGGTCCCAGGTCTGTTCGATTGCTCTGGCCAAGAAGCAAGGCCTTGAATGCCCACTGTAAGAGTAGACTCTCTGGGGAGTCAATACTCCACTGTGTTTCAAACTGATTCCAAGGAGGCTTTCTCCATGCCTCAGTTTCCCCTTCTTTTGGGACATAAGCTTTCCTTTCTTTCATTCTTCCTGCTTCTCCAGTTTCCTTCCTCGCTTTCTGCTTCATTATGCAGTATGGAGGCCCGTCTACAGTGCCGTGAATTCTTTGGGCACCTTGGGCACTGTGATTCCAACAGCTTTTCTCAACAGATCTGCAGGCACCAGCGAAATGCGACCCCCAAATGGGTCTGGGTGGTCGTGACTGTTAAAGAGAGCGGGGCCCTAGATTGGGCCATTTTTGCTTCAACAGGCGGCTGCTGAGGGCCGTGCCCCAAGTTCCTTGCGGGCCTTAGGCACGAGGACTTTTTCAGGGCAGGGCTGTCCATCCCAGCGGCGGACTGCGGGCTTCCCCAGCCGCCCCCCTTCCCTGCTTCAGACTTCCGTTTCTAGCTGCCAGGCCACGGACGCCTGCAGCCCGCCGCCTGCCCTCGGGCTGCATTTCCAGCCTCGCCTGGGGCCCGCGTCCCTCCCCGCCCCCGGGGAGCCCTGTCGGGCGCCGCCCCGCCCCGCTCGCGGGCCCAGGTCCAGCCGCCCCTCTGCAGAGTTGGGCGGCGCCGCGGCGAGCCCTCTCCGCCCATCTCCCTCCCCTCTGCTCGCTGCCATTTGAATTCCCCCGTTGACTCCAGGGCGGAGGCCGCGCGAGCCTTCGCGAAGGGCGAGGGCGGCGGGAGGAGGGCTCCGGCGCCCCTCCCGGGCGGCGCGGCGCCGGCCGGCGGTGCAGTCGCGCGCTCGCCGCCAGCGAAGCCATTGGCTCGGCGCAGTCACCCCACGCGGGGCTGCAGCGGCGGCCTCCGCGGATTGGCGCGCGGGCGGGCACCCACCGGGGCGCGCGCGGACGGGTGCGTGCTGCCCGGGCTGCACGGAAGCCCACCGACTCCAGGGTGGGCTCCCCCTCTTCGTCTTGATCACCCCGCCATCCTCCCCGCGTTGCCGATGCTGCCTTTGGGGCTGCCGCTAGTCACGGTCCCCGGTACCCTGGCCTAAAGAAAGGGCGCGAAAGGCGCGCTCCCTGCTCGGGCGCCCGCCCCGACCGCCGCCCTCCGCCGCACACTGCAGCATTTCGCGCTCTCGCGCCGCTCGCGCTCCCGCCTGCATCGTTTGCATATCCCACGATTGTGGCCAATCAGGACTCGTCTCTCCCGAAGCGGATGGCTTTTGCCTGAGAGGAAAGGGAGTGGCTGGCGGCGCATGCGCCGCGGTGGCCGACTTGAACCGAGGCTTTTATTGCTGTAGTTTATTTCCACCCCCTTCCCTCCTGTTCTCTCCCTCTCTTTCTTTTTTTTCCGCCCTAGCTGGGGCTGTGTTGGAGGAGAGGAAGAAAGAGAGACAGAGGATTGCATTTATCCCTTACGCTTCTGGAATTTGCCATCAGCAAGACTAGCTAAGCTGTTGCATCGTTTTAAATCCTGCAAAAAAATAACCAACTCTCTTTCCTGGCAATATTTGATTTAAAGCTGCCCTCTTGAAATTAATTTTTTCCCAGGAGAGAGATGTCTTATCAGGGGAAGAAAAATATTCCACGCATCACGGTGAGTTTGGTACTTGGGAAATTGCGGTCGGCCAGCAACCTTTTGTGGCACAGAACGTCTAAGTTTTTTTTTTCTTTTTCAAAGGAGGGGGAGGAAAAGGGACCCAACTTTTTTTCCCCTGTTGCTAAAGACGGCGATCGTGGTGGTGGGAGACGCAATCATACAGAAATATAAGCCACATGATTTGTGAGGCATTAAAATAGGAGCGTGAGTGCATTCCGGTCGTCCCGGGGAGCGCGCCAGAGCCTCCGTATCCTTTTATTGTCAGAAGGAGATGCTGCAGTGCCGGCCTGCGGGGTGTAAGCAAATGGATGCCAGATTGAATATGCATGGTTGGAGCTCGGATATTGTTCTCTGGGCTGCGTGCTGCGAGGCTGGACTCCGGGAGCTGGATGGGGCGATGGGGAATGGATTCTCCCTGCGTCTCCCGCCCCCTCCATAAAGGGCTTTCTGGAGTCTTCCTCCGGCTCCTTAGAAAAAGGAGCGGGTTTCAGCCTGGCGGCGTAATGACAGCGGCGGGATGCTGAAAGGGCAGGGTGTACCAGGATGTTGTGGAAACGGGAAGGAAAAACAGGGACGTGGTGATGAGCCGAGAAGGGCGGGGGGCCCGGCGTGGGCTTTTTGTTGACCAGGGACCGGTTTTGGGTGGCCCTTTCGTCTTTTTCGCCCTCTGGTTCGGGGCTGGGACCCTGGCAGGGCTCTGGGCTCGCTTCCGCGGGTCTTTCTGCCCCTTCTGCAGCCGGGGAGGCGTCCGTGTTGGCGCATACAAAGCGGGCTGGGAGGGTGGGCTTTGGGGACAGCGCCGAGCTGGGCTCCGGGAGGTAATGGCGCTGCGCGTCGCGCGGAGCAGATGGCCCGTCCCGGCCTCGGCCAGACAATGATCACGGCGGCCGAAGGTGCCGGCGCCGTTATGGGGCCTGGGGTGGTTAGTTTGTAAACCACGAGAAAAACATCTACGCGACGAACTGGCGATGCTCAAGCGATGAACGCAGGTTCATGCCTCCACCGCGCCCATCCTCTCCCCATCTTTTCCTGGAAAAAAATTTCTCTAGTCCTAGTTCTCCGCTTTCCCCTAAAAATCCTGGGGAGGGAGGGTGGAACGCGAGGGAAATTCATTGTTATATAATGATGTGCAATTGCAATTGGCCAGCTGATTGCTGGGTAAAACCCAGGGTTGAGGCAGAGACCGAAGGAATCTTTGAAAAGTGTAGATGTGCAGGGCTGGATTGGAGGGCGCGCTTTTGCTCTGGTTTCCTCCTTAGCCACGGGCACCTCGGCTTCCCCTGGATGCACCAGGGCACACCCATCCGCAGGAGCGAGATGTGGAAACAAATGCACGGGGGAGGGGGCGTGTGCTGGAGGGGATTTTATAGGTGAGCACGGCTGCTCTCCAGCGAGGGTGGGTACTAGCTTTTTTAGAAGGCCAAAGACCCAGCCAAGATCCCAAAGGGCCGTGCGCGTGAGGCCGGCGTTCTGTATTCTCTGGTGGGAGGACCGAGTCCGGAGAGTAGGGGTGCAGAGCAGAGTCGCTGCCAGCCTCAAATAATTTGCAGTCTTCGTGAATGAAAAAGGCAGTTTCGTTTTGACAGTGTGGGGAGGAAGGAAAAAAAAAAGCAAACAAGACGGATTTTTAAAGAGCGCCCCCTCTATCCTTAAAACTGGTTGCATTATGGAGGACCTATATAGCACGGTTTCCCCTCTTTCCATCATCACGGCCAGCCTCTTATGTAAGGAGCCTCTGGAAGGCACTAGAGGGAACGGGGCTGTGATGTTTCGTTTTTTTCTTAATGTGATGTTGGCTGGGGAATTCGCAGTGGTGCCTGGGACAGGCACCGCAGCAAATGAGGGAGCAGGTGGTGAAGGGCAGGGCTTCGCCTTGCTCCCCGGCAGCGCCTACCCTCTCAAAGCTGCATCCTGCGGGGGAGATCTGTGTAGACGGAGGAAAGAGTACTGGGTCAGGTGGCCTGAGGCCAGTGAGTTAAGGGTTCTGTGCCTCAGTTTCTTTCTGTGTCATGGGGTTAAGAATCTGGCTCCATCCACTTCTCTGATTTGTTTTGATGCTTTGATGACATGGTGTACATGACGAGATTTTGTAAAGGTTCTTATATTTACCGTATACAAGGGCCCAGGGATCGCTGAATATTTAGTCCCAGTGACTTCCCAAAGTCTACGGCAGGACAGAGTGTGCAGAATTTAAATGATCTTACTGTTTTTTTTTTTTTTAATCATGTTAAACAATAAATACTTTGTAAATCCACATGTGTACTTTTGCATAAAAGAACCTTCTTGGATCTCTCATAGTTTATATTTTATTACTGGTTTGTCATAATATTTTCTTTGGTAGAAGCTAAATATAAATAGCACTTACTGAGAGTGTTGTTTTGTAACAGTTTTGAGTTAACCATTGTCAAGATGAATACCATTCCTTTGAAATATTTTGCATATTAAGAGGGCAATCTAAGGTTTAACTTGTAACATTTCAGCCCATTGTGGGATGGCACAGGTGTATATCCACTGAAGGCAGGACTTGAACATCAGCAGCCTTTGGGATGGAGATGACTCACAATGTAACATTTTCTTTGCATTCCTGGCCCTCATGTGCTGCTTGTCATGTATCTATTTTTCCACTAATCATACATAAGTGCATCAACAATTCATGGTAGACTTTAGGACTTGCCGTCTCATCTCCTTACCACATTTTACCTTTTCCTTAACAACTTAATAGTTAAAATGGTGCACACTTGAAGTTCTTTTTTCTTTCTTGGCTACAGTCACCGTGATTTACCTCAAAATGAAATGCAGATACAATGAACACGCTGAACTGAAACCTTGTTGTGGTGGAACCAAGTGTGTTTGTGTTGAGTTTGCCATGACAACAGACTTTTGGTTAATTCTTCCCAACACAAAGCTTGCCAAGAACTGACTTCCCTAAATGCGGGTGTATTTTTTTTTTTTTTTAAATAAAGTTTAGCCTAAAGCCATTTAAAAAGTGTTGTCTTTTGAAAAGAGGGTTTTTTGGTTGGTTTGTTTTTAAAATCTGTGATAAGCTTTGTCCTTTCCCAGTATGTTCTGACTCAGGTGATGAATAGGTTGCAGCAAACAGGCTCACCAACATCACTGAATCTTCCAAAATTGCCTCATTTTGAGCATCACTTGAATAGTGAAAATGTATCCTTAGTTCATTTGTCTTCGCACCAGAGTTCCTCATGGGTCAAGTATGTGTGGTGACCTTATTACGTCTTTGTTTCAGAGTGATCGTCTTCTGATCAAAGGAGGTAAAATCGTTAATGATGACCAGTCATTCTATGCAGACATTTACATGGAAGATGGGTTGATCAAGTAAGTGTAACTCATTATATAGAAGAATTTGTGTACTTCCCAGTATTCCCAAGCATTTCCTACAATTCACACGCATAGTACCAAGCTTTAGTGACTTCAAAGAGTGACTTAGTATCTGTTTAAGCCAATTTTGATTGGTAGCAATTAGTGAATTTGAAAACTCAGATTTAGAGAATTCAAAGCTGCAATTAAACGCACACCCATTTCCTGACGCATTATGTAATTTTCTATTTTTAACCTAGGTGACACAGTATCTTCCTGTTGCCAGCTCAGATGCTTGCTTTAGGATCTATTGAGTAGATGAAAGGTTTTCCTAGAACGTAGTTGTCTGCATGGCTTGCCCAAATGAAGGACACAAATGTGAAGTATATCCTCTTCCGTCAAGATAGCACATCTGCTTTCTGAATCAAGGATCTAAGTGGTTGGGGCCAAAGGACAACAAATTAATTACCAAGTAACACAGACAAATTACTGGCTCATCCCGAGGGAATTTCAGGTTTTATTCTCTAAGTGCCAACAAACACCAGTGAGACTGCCCTTGTGTTGATTGTGTATTGTGTTACTAACAACAGAGCGGTTACTGCATTAGGGTATTTTTGGATTCTAGAGGGTTAAGTGAGCTGAGCACATGCCAGTGTCCACGTGCCCTTCCAACTGGGACGGCGCAGAGGGCTCCAGAGAAATAGCACATCTGTTTAAAGACAAACACTGCTGTAAATGACATCTTTTGAATAAGCAGCATTCATCAAGTGCTGCAGCAAACCCGTCCTGAGAAGTGGAAAACTGCAGTGGATGTGTCTGTTGCCTGGAAACTCACACCCTGATTTATGAACCTAAAATAGGTCTTGCCATTTCCACATTAATGTTTTCTCCATGTGCGTTTGCTCATGACAGTCTCGCCCCAGGCGCTCACATACCCTGATCGTCCCATTTCCCCCAGTCGGAAGGCAGCATCAGCCCGTCCAGCAGGACCCAAGTGAGCGAGCCCGGGTGCTCCATTCAGTCGTCACTGATTTGTTTTCGAACTTTGTCAACTTCTCCTTGATTACTTTGCCATTAAAAAAACAAAAAACAAAAGCTGGTAGAAAGATGTAGCAGAGATTTAAAAGACAATTGGAAATGAATCCACGTTTCTCAATATAATGAATATTAATTTTTTTGCCATTTATCTGAGTTGCTAAAGACATGCTTCCAGATTTTCAAATCACTTTAATCATAGCATTCACTTTTATTTATTTTTTCTTTCGCCCCTATTTTCTCAACATTGCAAAGGATCTGGTGAGAAGTACATGTTTGTAAAGTACAACCAGGTCTGGAGAAAATCGCTATAGGATAATTAGTTCCACTTTGTGTTTATAGAGAAAGTGTAGTGGCATTTTATGCAAATTTCTTGGAGTCTTTGTTATTGGATCTTGGGGGTTTCCATCAGGCCTCTGAGATCTTATTTACCTTTGGTTTTCTAGTAAGTGCAGCATTGCCTTTCAGTTGGGGGGAGGAAGTGGGGAATGCACATATATTATGAATAATTGCAGTAACTGGAAAAGTCTAGGGAACATAGGGAAGGGTAGGTTAGGGCTTGGGGGAATTGTCTTTCAGATTTCATTCGCCTGGAGGACATTTCATTGACCCCCACTGTCGCACCCTCTCCCTTTCTCTAGGCAAATAGGAGAAAACCTGATTGTGCCAGGAGGTGTGAAGACCATCGAGGCCCATTCCCGGATGGTGATTCCTGGCGGGATCGACGTCCACACCCGCTTCCAGATGCCCGAGCAGGGGATGACTTCGGCAGATGACTTCTTCCAAGGCACCAAGGCAGCCCTGGCTGGCGGCACCACCATGATCAGTAAGACAGCTTAAAACAGTCACCCTAGCACTTGGGAACCTTCATCACAGGAGGATGAGTCTGTGTTGTTTGACTCTTCTAGCAGTTGCAGAACTGAGCAGTGGATCGATCTGCCGCGTGAGGGGCAGCGGGGTGGGGAGGGCCGCTGGTTGTCTTGTCTTACTCGCATTTTCTGTCCAGCTCTGACTTCTGCAGTGAAACTTGAGAATACGGATCCAGAGAACTGTGGTAGGGTAAAGGGGGCGGCCTCTGGCTTTCTCTGCTTATGGACTTTTAGACAAAAGTTAACTTGAAAATGGGATTTCATTGTGGTCACTTTGCAAACATAGCATTTAGAGTAACCTTCAGAGCTATCAATTTTGAGCTTTTGCTCATGAGTATTTGGTTCTGATTTTTCAAGAATTCCTGAGGGCGCATCTTCTCAGAAAGGGGATGGGGTGTAGCGAATGTTGAACCAGGGATCTCTGTTCCAACGATTGGAAAATAAAATGGGAGCACTTCTTCCTGGCCTGGATTTGACATAGATGGAATGGGGCGGTCCTGCTTGAGAAGGACCCGCAGGTGGTATTGGTTGTTGTTTAGATGATGTTGCTCCTATGGATAGCTCTTCTATGGATAGTGGGGTGCTCTTCATATTTTGCTTTGAAGGATTTATGCTTTTCATTTTGCCAAATCTAAAGTATCTTTCCTGGGGTCATAGCACACATTAGGAGTTTGCTAGTGACTGGTCCATTTCCAATGTGCCCACTGATTGTCCCTTCGACCAATAGCATCTTGTTTCTGAGGAGGCAGGCAAGCTGCACAGTGGCCCAGCTGGCATGTATTAAAAAAAAAAAAAAGATTTTATCCAAGAGTGAAAGCCAAGATACAATCGGTCGTACAAGCTAACAGTTCAGTTCAGAAGAGGGTCAGAGTTGAAAGAACTTAGCTATTTATGCTTTAGGAAAACCTGTCTTAACTGGTTGTTTTTCAGAATGATGGTCTCTTTATCTGTGACTTCAGGGTCTCTCCTTTCGGTCCCAGCACGTAGAAGAACGTTGCCCTGCCCTCCCCGCCTAGCTTGAGCTCCCCCCACTTTGAATGCCATACCCACCTCCCCGTGGGGTCTCAGCCCTGGTCTCGCGCGTGTCTGCAGACCAGGGACCACTCTCCCGCCTCAGCTCTCTCTCCCTGCCCCAAAAGAGCCTCCACATTGAAGCCTTAGTATTTCTTTCTTGCTGCACACGTCACCGTCCAGCCTCGTGGGGGAGTTCTCAGGGGGGCCTGCACTCACGCCTTGGGACTCTGGCCTAGTGGGGAAAGCCTGCCGTTTGGTCGGTGCCATCGGTCAAGACGCACGTGGCACCCTGGACACTCCCGTCCCTCCTCTAAGGCCACACGTGAAAAGCGCCGAGTGCCTGCTGTCAACCTGCAAGGTCAAGTCAAGGTTCTCGTCTGCCTCTGGCATGGAGTTCAGATGGGGTGCCCGTAGGCCCCTGCATTGGTCACGGAGGGTTCATAAGCCGCAGGTGACATTTCCTGAGTGAGTGGTCAGTGAGGTCTGTTGTGGGCGGAGTTGCTAGCCAGAGCCTCCGTGGCGGAAATGTCCCCAGGCGGGAGCCTGTAGTTCTGGTCTCTCTCCAACACCAACTTGCTGTGTGACCTTGGCAAGTCACCTCAGTTCTTCGGGCTTTAGCTGCTCATCGGCACAGTGGAGGATTTGCACGAGATGACCCTAGATGTCCTTTCCAGCTCCCACATTTGACGAGTCACTGAGCTCAGAGACAGAGTTTGCCTCTAATAAATTGCACTCTGTTCCACAGATACAGAAGAGCCGTGTTCTGTCTCAGACACACTCGAAGGGCCCCGTGAACCCGCCTCTCCTCTCTGTCACTCTGGAGCACGCTCTCCTCATACGGGACCCATTCTTGACCCTCTCCTGCTTCTTGTCCCTTTTGTGTCTTCCCTTCCCCTCACCATCGCCATGTGGGTGTACCCCTTCTTGCCGACACCCCGACTTTCTCCTTGGCCTTCTTTCTCAGCGGCTATGCGCTTTCCCTTCATTCCAGGCGGTTCCTTCTGTGCAGGGACAAGGGACGTCCCCACGAGTCCAGCACCTGGCCCAGGGGATGGGAACAGTCAGCAGTTGGCCTAATGGCAGACGCGAATGAAGGGGAAGAGAAAAGCCAGGCTGCCTGCCCCGCTTAGCCGGGCGGAACGCGATCGCGGGCAGTCACTGGGGCTGAAGAGTAGGGGACCGAGTGAGCATACGCCGAGGCATGCAAGCCGTCAGGAGGGGCAGGGGTGTGGTTGAGCTGTCGTCCCACACTCCCCGCTTTTACGACCAGAGAAAAATGTTAACGGGTCTTAAAAATGACCCCCGCGGTTACTGACCGCTGTAGAATTCCCACCAGCCTGCCCTCTTCTCGGCTGGCTGGTCATACTCTGTGCATTGCTTCAGGTCAGGGCGTGGCCCAGGCACGCTTTTCAGGGAGGGAGGCTTGCAAAGAGGAAGAGCTAGCTTACGGTGACTTCATTGGTATCTGCAGTCTGCTCCTTTGATGAAATCAGAGCTGCTTTAATGAGCACCAAGGCCAGAAATAAATGTCTGGAGCATGTTGAAGAGATTCAGGTGCAAACTCGCAGAAACAAGCCATTGAAGTACACTGGTATGATGAAGCCTGTAACGCCTTCCTCCCGTCTTTCTGGGTGTCTCCAAGCTGTGTCACTGGCCCTGCAGCCGAGTCGCCGTGTCCCCCTGCTGTGTGTTTCCCAGGCCTGAGGACCTGGGGGCTTCATTTCCATCCAAAATGGCACTGCCTGCAGAGGAAAATGCAGCCGAATGTTCCCAGTTTAAAAATGGAGGTGATGCACCAGCAACAGAAAATAATATTATTGCCGTCAGACAGAGCCTTCCATTGAGACTTGCCTATGAGACCTTTGTGTGAGGCACTCAGTGTGGGTGGAAGGAACACCCTTTGCCCTTTCCCTCCAGGGATGGGTGGGCAGAGGCCCCAGACATGCCCTGAAGGCAGCATCCGGACTGGCCGAAGGTCCCGAGGACGCAGGGGTGCTGCTTGGGGACAGCGCAGCCGGCTTCCCAGCGGTGTCGCGTTCTCCATTGTTAAGACCTCAGGGTCTCCAGGAAGCAGATGGGGACGGTCCTTGATTTTAAAGAGGGGAAGACGGAGGCCAGAGGGAGGGGCACAACACGCCAACACGTGCCCCGTGCTTCGGTGCCGGTGGCCAGTGATCCCTGCCGTTGCGGCTCCACCACCACGAGCTGTGTGACTTGTCTTTAAGTCTCAGTCGCCTCACGTGCACAATGGAGAAAGTCGTTTCAGGTAGCGGCATGGAGGCATCGGAGCAGTGCTGGCCGTAGTGATAAGCACTGGGATGCGGTTGTCAGTGTTATTCATCTCACCTCAGGTGCCAGCAACCTCCCGCCTCTGCAGAGACGTCCCCCCCACCCTGCCCGCAGTGAGTCTCTGCAGAGAGAAAAGGGGCTGCAGGAGGGTCCACCCGGAACGTTTGCTGGGAGCAGGGCCTCTCTGAACGCAGTCAGCTGGGTGTTTTCCGACCGCATTTCTCTGAGCGCAGTCAGCTGGGAAGCGTGTCTGAAAACACCCAGCTTCCTGGGCCCCACCCAACCTGTCAAAGAAGAGAATCTGCTGGTGGGACCTGCGATTCTGCATTTGAATCTGGTGATTGTTTGAAAGTGTGGATCTCGGGGATCCCCAAGGAACAGGAGCCCCAGCTCATGGACGAGAGCCTGTCAGTCATTTTTGCTCACCTGAATACAAGGCTTCCCCGCAGACGGCGCAGGACCCCAGGCACAGCACACTGAGGGGCAGCTTCCGCTCCCCTGGGTGCCACCCAGCAGGGATCAGGGGGACGTGAACACAGGGAAGGTGAGGACAGACGGCCGCTGCCGGGCTGGAAAGGGCTCCCATTCCTCCTGACCTCTGGATTCGTCACTCGCCCTCTGAGTGGGGCTCCCCCTCTGGGCGGGGCTCCTCCCGCCCCGCCGCGTGCCACAGGCCCTCCGCGGCCCTCCCCAGTTGGATTCGCCCTTCCTCCCGCCCCCCTCCCTCCGTCTGGCGCCCAGCCCCAGAGAGGCAGCACCGTCAGCAGGCCCGATCCCCCAGAGGCACCCTGTGCTGAATCGGAGCAGTTCGCCTCTGTTCTCTCTTGCACCCGTTCCTTTGCTGCCCCTGACTCTGGCCCCTGGCATCCCTTCCTCCTCTGAGGAGTCTCGCTGCCGCCCCGATATCTGGCCCCCGCTGCCTGGGCTCTCTCTCCGGCACGGCATGGAGCCTGTCAGTCTGTCCTCGGAGATCCCTGACACCGGCGCCGCCACCCCCGCCCCACGGCCCGGTCCCGCGGCTCTTCTTGCTCAGAGAGTGCCGCCCAGCGCAGAGCCCTCCTCCGCCCCGGGGCGCAGTCCTGCTGCTCAGCCTGCACTCGCGGTGTCGCCTCATTCAGGCGTGCCCTTCCCCTCTTTCCTCTGGGTGCCACCTCTGTCCCCAAGCCCCTGCTCAGCCCCCTTCACTGAAACCTATTGTTGCTTCCTGGCACCTCAGCAAACGTTGGGCTCTTATCCCGTGGCCCTGACGACATTCCTCTGGTGTCACAGTTTGATCACGGCTCCTCTGTCGCTTTGGTTTCAATGTTCCCTGCCTGGCCAGCCGCGCTGCTCCTGAGTCGCTCACCCCATCCCTGCCTGCTGTTGGACGGACGGACGGACAGATGGACGGATACACTAACAAGGACTTGGTTTTATGCTTCATCTGACTGGTGCCAGAAGACCGAGACTCCCGGGGCTGGAGGAGGCGCGCAGGCTGTTAATTGTGTCTGCTGCCTCTTCTCCAGCTGCTGCCGGCCCCCACCCACCCCGGTGCCTGCCGGGAGCAGCTCTGCTGCCCCAGTGTGTGGGGGAGGCAGGCGGGGAGCCCGAGCGGCAGCCTGAGGTCATCGTGGGACCGCTCCCCCCACCTGGATGGCCCTCGAAGGTGGCAGGA